CCCATGCAGCTAAATTTCAGTCATTCCTAAAAGAGTAACAGAATCATCTGCCTGTCTGAGATGCCTCTTGTCCCCTATACCTGTCAGAAGGGGACTGGTGGAAATGGTTTATGAAGACGCAGATGTGGTTTGTCCTCACTCTTAACGTAGTGATCCATCACTCTAATACCCTCATCAGTAACATCTCTGTATGTCACTTGCTGTGCTGTGTTTTGTCTCACTGGGATCCTGTCTTCATACTCTCAGATGTTCTGTTCCTGAATAAGAAGGTCTTCCACACGGGGAAAAGGGAAAGCATTTTCCACCCTGTGGGGCTCACCTCTCTGCAGTGTCCTTGTTCTATGGGACAAGCCTAGAGGTCTACTTCAGTTCTGCTGGAGCCATTCTTCCCAGAGAAGCTTGACTGCCTCAATGGAGTGACTCTGTGACTGTGGCCACCCCCGTGCTGTACCCCTTCATCTACAGCCTGAGCAGCAGTGCTGTGATGGGGGCCCTGGGAATGCTTCTTTGCTGAGGAGTCCTTTGTCCACAGTGGGCCATTAGCCTCAAAACCAGGAGGACATTGTGCGCTCCCAATGCAATTGTGAATTTAAATATTTTTGTTATTTTTCTGTCCCACAAGTTCCTTCATTTCTTCTATTCCCAAAGCACCTATGATTTGTGTATATTTGTGATTTGTTTCTCAATAACCACTTCAGAAATTCCTCCCCCCCATATATAGCACCTAAAATTCATTGGTCAGTATTCCCATAGCCATTCCTGAGATGTCCAACATTAGATGTGAATTACTTACATCAAGTGCCAGCACTGTTTCCTCAAGAATCATCCTCTCACTGTTGATATTCTTCACTTTTGTTTGATTGGGTGCTTTTTTTTTTTCCTGAAAGATATGGAATGAGAGGGACACTGTAGCCCTAATTAAAGTGCCTGCCATGTCAAGGCTGCTTGTGTTTGCATGTGTAATTCCATATAATTCTGACTTTCTTAGAAACATTTTCTGACTTACCCCATCTTTCAGAAAAAGATTAGAATGGACTCTACCCTGGAAATCTGACACCCTCCTAACTTACTCTCATACTTTTCCAGGAAACAGGGATGTGATTTTGAACTTCCAGAATAGGAATTGTGATTTGAGTAATAATTAACTTGGCAGTTTCTCCATAGTATGTTGCCTCATTCTTTGCCTTCTGTCATCCTCCTTTCATTCCCTCTTTTCCTTTATTGTCCTTGTTTACTTGCACCTTCATTATTCATCATTGCCAATTTAAGATACGCTCCAAATCCTCAGGTGGAAACTAGTTTTCTGAGTGAATGACTGGCCGCAGTAGGGAGACAGAAGAATGAAAAATGAGTATTTAATGTGTATAAAGTTTCAACTTGGGAATATAAAAACATCTGGGAGTGGATAGCAGTAATTGCTGCATAAAAACCAATGTACTTAATTCCAAATAAATAGAATTGTATGTCTAAGTGTTTACAGTGGTAAATTTTATGTGACACATACTTAACCACAGTAAAAAAAGGAAAATAATGGAGAAAGATGTGAGGTCCCTTTGTAATAATATCTTTAATTATCAAATAATAAATAATTGGTGTAATTTTTACATGTCACAAAATATTGACATTTTTGTCTATTTAATGATTTGTAAGAGACTGTCCTGTGTATTGTACATTTCAAGAGATTCCTGCCGTCTACTCACTAAATGCAATCGCAAAGTATGAGAACTAGAAATGTCTTTAGACATTGCCTATTGTCCTGTGGGGGCAGAATCAGCGTGAGAACAACTGGAGAAGGGTTCCTAAGGTGCCACAGTTGATGGTGTGAGCTTTTACAGTGATAGTAATAACAGGATGCAGAAAATGTGGGTGAGGATAAAACATCAGAACATCAATTTAATCTTGGAAACGGTGAGTGGAGGGGACTACGGAACACCTCATTGGTAATAGTGTCTCACAGTTCTGTTGTGTGGTCTGGTGTTCACTGGTCTGCACTGGTGGCAGTATAATTCAAGTACATACTTCTCTAGTTTGAGACCCTGCTTCCCTCCTATTCCTCAAAACACAGACAACTATCATATGCAGCAAGGACTACAACTGAATACATTTTGAAGACTGTTGTACTTGCCGGCTTGTCTTTGACATATATATGTGATAAATTAATATAAGTAGATTTCCTTAAGTTGAGTATGTTTAAATTCCTGGAATGTCAGCAAGATGGCAGAATACGAAGCAGGTCCCCACTCACATCCTCCAGAGCAACAAATGTGGCAGCTTGCAATGAACAGAAGTACCTTTGCGGGAGTCTTGGGATCTCAGTACCAGAGGGGGAAATTTTGGTAGAGCCCAAAAACAAGGGCCATTTTGAAAAGAGATCTAAGCCCTGGTGGCAGGCTGAGTGACTGTGGTCCTGGAAACAGCCATGGTATTGGCTGCAGTTGGATTTGGCCTTGTCACTAGCACGGTCCCTCAGGCCCCAGGAGGAGTCCCACCCACCCATCCCTCAGGTAACAGGACTGCTGACCTCACTCTGAGATGCAGACCTCGAGTAGCCAGCCTGTGACCCAGCTCCAGCCTCTTCAAGCTGCTATCGTCCCCACGGAGGAATCCAGGACACTTGTCCATCTGTGAGCCTGGAGGCAGGGCTACTAACTTTGTCTGACTACAGATTTTAAAGCAGCCCACAACCCAGCTCCAGACACTCTGAGCCACAATGTAGGAGGAATCCTGCCCATGCAGAGACCCAGGGGGAGACTCCCCCATCAGTGCTCCCTGAGGCAGGCCTGCAGAACTTGGCATGGCTGTGGACCTTAAGGCACCCCTGTGACATGGCTGCAGCCCCTTATACCTGTGTTCTGGGGCCTGTCATTACTGCCTTGTGGTAGAGCTGTGGGCCCTGAAGGGAACCCTAGGCCCAGTGCAAGCCCTCCTGACCAAGGTTCTGGAGGCAGTCTTGTCCAGGCAGGGGCCAAAGTCAATTTCTCCACTGATAGGTCTGCCAACCACAGACCCCAGAGCAGACCCAGCAGCAGCTGCCTGGCCTGGCTCCAACCCCACTCGACTATGAGCCCAGAGGCAAAACCATCAGCCCAGGGACCCAGCAGGGGACTAAGAGCAAGTCCACCAGCTGATTAGTGAAGAACGCCAAGCTCAGCTCCTACTGCAGTAACATGCAATAAAACCACCACCATGATAGGTTTACCATTAAATATTAAAACATTAGTATAATCACAAGAGTCTGGTGTGTTCACAGATTAATACATTACTAACAAGAGTCTAGAAAATGGTACGGTTATATATAAGTGAATTGTTTTGTTTTGTTTTTGATGTTTATTTTTGAGAGAGACAGAGCATGAGCAGGGGAGGGGCAGAGAGTGAGGGAGACAGAATCTGAAGCAGGCTCCAAGCTCCAAGCTGTCAGCACAGAGCCTGACGCGGAGCTCGAACCCACAAACCATGAGATCATGACCTGGGCTGAAGTCAGACGCTCAACCGACTGAGCCACCCAGGTGCGCATATTTTTTTCAATGAGGGTGGAATTTCAAGTCAGGACACCAAAAATAGTTTATCAATAGTGGTATGAAACAATTAGCCATTTTTTCTGGCAGAAAAAACAATGATTGGATCAAATACCAAAATTCACATCCTAATGCATTCTATGAGGATAGAGTTAAAGGCCTTTAAATATATTTAAGAAGAAAATTGTAAAATCTGAATATAATCTATAGTTTCAAGAGATTTTATGTCAAGGGTGGAAATGCAGATAGTCTTAAAACCAGACTTCTTTGGGGGCGCCTGGGTGGCTTAGTCGGTTAAGCGTCCGACTTTCGCTTAGGTCATGATCTCACGGTTCGTGGGTTCGAGCCCCGCGTCGGGCTCTGTGCTGACTGCCAGCTCGGAGCCTGGAGCCTGTTTCAGTCTGTGACTCCCTCTCTCTCTGACCCTCCCCTGCTCACGCTGTCTGTCTCTCTCTCTCCTAGAAATAAATAAAAAAAAAAAACAAAAAAACCAGACTTCTTTGGCTACATAAAAAGTATATGTACAATTAAACATTAACATAGCAACATTAACATAGCAACTGCATCAATGAATAAAACATTAGATACACATAAACAAGACCCTTCTCTTTAATGAAGAATGATTGACATACAATACTGGATTAGTTGCAGGCAAAGAGAGTGATTGGAATACACATATACATCATGGAAGGGTCACCACAGTAAGTGTAGTTCCCATCTGTCAAAGTTGATAACTGTTACACTGACTATATTCCACGTGTGCGTAAGCTACATCTCCTGGCCTTAATTATTTTGGAACTGGGAGACTACCTCTTAATCCCCTTCACCTATTTCCTCCACTCCCTCCTGCTCTCCTCCGATAAGTCTTGAGCAGATGTGACATTCAGTCCTGTTTAAAAAGATCTTTACTGGGGCGCTGGGTGGCTCAGTCGGTTAAGCATCCGACTTCAGCTCAGGTCATGATCTCTGCGTTCGCGGGTTCGAGCCCCGCGTCGGGGTCTGTGCTGACAGCTGAGCCTGAAGCCTGTTTCAGATTCTGTGTCTCCCTCTCTCTCTGACCCTCTCCTGCTCACTCTGTCTCTCTCTCAGTCAGAAATAAAAGCATTGAAAAAAAATTTTTAATACCTATTTTTTAAAAATAAATAAAATAAAAAGATCTTTACTAATTGCACAAAGGCCATCCAGTGAAACCAGAGCAAACGTGATTAGGGGAACAACTTTATAACCACGCCCGGAGAAAGGCAGAATGCCTGGTATCAGTGCGATCTCACGAAAACAGATAACACATATTTGACACAGAAAAAGGAAAGATTTATAGGAAATGTCCTAACAATGAAGCAAGGCATCAACGACTGGACTTTAGCGTCGTGTCCAATGTAAATGACAATGAGAGGAAATCAAGGCCCAGAGACGGGATGGACTGAATGCGAGAGATGGACTAAGTGGTGGACTCTCGGGGTTCTCCATAAAGGACAATGGCCGTAGATGCTCCCGGTGGTGCAGGGAGGCAGGCAGGAAACTACCCCGCAGGCGCTGGGGCGAGCCCGTCGGCGCCCCCCCACGAGCTGGGCCCCGTCCTCCGCCCTCCCCGCCCCCGCCCCTCGCAGGGTCCCGCCTCCTCCCGTAGCCGCACCCTCGTACCTGGTTCCTGCCCCAGCCGTGACCTCGGGCCGGATCCCGGCCTCGGTGCCAGCGCCGAGCGCCGCGGGCCACTCCTCGTCCACGCCCGAGGGAAGGCCGGTTCCGCCGTCCGAGGTGGAAGCCCTGCCCCTCGATTCCCGGCCGGAAGCGGAAGTGGCGTCACACGCTCGCCGGGGTCTCCAGCACGGCTACGTCTGCGCAGCGTTGAGCTTTTCGGGCTGCTGATGGGCATGTGTGGTCAGGTGTGGACCGGCTGTGGTGGGGAAGGCCTGATTGGGAGGAAGGAGGAGGGAGTCCAAGGCCGGTTTTAGTCGCGGTCACCGATGGGGCCGCTTAAGGGCCGGGCCGTGCGGATCTCATGCGGTTCTCATCTGGGAGCGGCCCAGACTCACCCCCCACCCCCACCCCTGCCTCCGGGACCCGGCCGCCGAGCCGTTGGGAAAGTTGGTTCAGCGGGGCCTGTGTTCCCTTTTGTTGGGGAAGAGGCTGTTTCATCTGAGAATGTGGCTTTGTCTGCGCTCGTCTTTTATTCCAGACACACTACTAGGCAGGTAATATGCCTTCTCCGGTGCGTGTAGTGTGCATGCTTCAGTTCCTAGTTACACACACGTGCTCCACTGGTCTTTGTACTAAAGAGAAATAAGAATTTTCATCTACTGTTAGAGAAATCCAAGTCTACTGTCCGTCGCTGGAAAAACCAACACTCAAGAGCAATTTTATCAGAAGGCAATAGGAGCTTTATTCAGGAAGCGCGCCACCTAGGAAGAAGGTGGACTCTTATCCCAAGGTCAACCCTGAGGTTTCTGCTTGGACTCAAGGGTATTTCATGGCTTTTAGGGTAGTTAATCAGTAAAGGGAGAACAGGGAGACAGCCGCTGTGCCCAGAGGTCGTGCAAGGGGTTCAGCTTCCTTTATATCCACGTGGTTGTGCAAGGGGGTCTGGGGAAGTGCAGAAGTGCTTTGTTACTAAGAATGAATCATCTACAGATAATGCAAAGAAAGGCTAGTTAATCAATCACGCAGGCTAAGGGTGCTTGCTAAAGCTTAAAGACTGCTAGGTTGTCCGGAGTTGCTGAAGCAGCTTCGCTGCCTTTTCATCTGACTGGCCATCCTAAGCTTGTCCATCCCCACCAGGCTGCTAGGAGTAAAGAATGTAGGTTTTATCACCTTACCTTGTTTATTTTTTTAATGTGTATTTATTTATTTACTTATTTATTTAAAATGTTTAGGGGCGCCTGGGTGGCTCAGTCGGTTAAGCGTCCGACTTCGGCTCAGGTCATGATCTCACGGTTCGTGGGTTCCAGCCCCCCCGTCGGCTCTGTGCTGACAGCTCAGAGCCTGGAGCCTGCTTCAGATTCTGTATCTCCCTCTCTCTGTGACCCTCCCCTGCTCACGCTGTCTCTCTCTCTCTCTTTCTCTCAGAAATAAATAAAACACTTGAAAAATTTAAATGCTTAATTTTGAAAGAGAGTGTGAGCGTGGGAGGGTCAGAGAGAGGGACAGAGGATCTGAAATGGGCTCCATGCTGACAGCAGCCAAGTCCCAGGGAGGGGCTCAAACTCAGGAGCTGGGATATCATGACCTGAGCTGAGGAAGTCAGACACTCAACCTATTCAGCCATCCATGCGCTTCTAATGTTTCTTTATTTGGGGGAGACAGGATTCAAAGCGGAGTTCACCTGACATCAGGGAGCCTGATGCGGTCTTGACCTCATGAACCCCGAGATCATGACCTGAGCTAAAGTTGGTCTCTCAACTTGACTGAGCCACCCAGGTGCCCCTTACTTCATTTTTAAAATAACTGAATTTCATGTTAACAGGAAGTGTCTTATTATTGACATTTTTCTTTTGAAAAATCTTCAATATAAAGGAAATGTAAACAAGTAGTGCCCTGAATGTCCAGTTAAGTAGATTCATCATTTTAGCTTTTTGCATGTCTTTTGCTCTCTGAATAAAGACATACATTTTTTAGCAGACTTTTTGAGAGTACATAGGAAATTAATCGCAGACATGACACTTGACTTTTAAATCCTTGGTAATGCATCTCCTAAAGATAAGGACATTTTGCTATTAAAACCGTAAGACTGATTTTCCCCAAGAAAACTAATAATGTTATCTAATATCCTTTAAAAAACTTTTCCACGTTTTTTCTACATTTCAGAGTAAGTTTTTAGATCTAGGATGCAGTCAACATTTATATATGACAATTGTTTATATCTGTTAGTGTCTTCTTAACCTAGAGCAGAGCTACTGTTTCTTCATAATACCAACATGGAGGAGTCATACATTCTTTGAGAAACGTATATTTTAGTTATTTCTGATTTTACTTTCATGGCTTTTTTGGTTTTTTGTTCTTTGTTTTTTTGTTGTTGTTTTTCATCTCTACATCTATACATCCGATGTGACCTAGACATCCACAAGTCACATGTTCCATCAAGTGAGCCACATATGTACCCCATTCATGGTGTATTTAAATGTTTCCCTTATTTCCTCTAATTTTGTAAACTGGTGGGGCGGCTGGGTGGCTCAGTCGGTTGAGCATCCGACTACTGCTCAGGTCATGATCTCACAGTTCATGGATTCAAGCCCCGCGTCGGGCTCTGTGCTGACTGCCAGCTCAGAGCCTGGAGCCTGTTTCAGATACTGTATCTCCCTCTCTCTCTAACCCTCCCCTGCTCATGCTGTCTATCTCTCTCTCTCTCTCTCTCTCAGAAATAAATAAAACATTAAAAAAATTTTTTTTTTAATTTTGTAAACTGGTAATTTGGTCGAGTATAGAGATTAGCCAACTTTCTTTCTGTAAGAACTTAGGTGATAATGTAGACAGAGCCCACATAGAGGCAAGAGCACCTGGCTCCAGGGGTCAAAAACAGACCAGGTTCAGTTACTCTCTACTGACAAAATCCAAAGACAGAGAAATGAATGGTTCTAAAACAAGACCGGAATATATCTGAGGGAGGCCAGCACTGAGAAGACAGGAAACTAGCATCTCAAAGACTGTGTTCAAAGTGTTTAAAGTACTTTCAAGTTTACATAAGGGAAATGGAGAACAAAAGTCACTATGTACCTGTAGGTGAGCAGTGAAGTTCAGATCGGTCATTGCCTTGTAGTCAATCATGCAGCCCTTATTGATCAAGGGGGAAGTTTCGTTTCTTGTAGTGGGTGGTTTACCCACATGGTCTTTTGTCTGAGTTCAGAGAGAAGCTGGAAAGAAGACCTTAATCAGAAAGTTTGACATCAAAATGGAGGTAGTTGAAGTCCTCTTTCAACAAGTGCATTAATCTTTGCTGACCAAAAAGCCTGGAATTCCTCAGCTCTGCCTTTGTAGATGCACAAGTAACCATAACCCTTACTAAACAAATGGGTGTGGTTTTGTCCCACCGAACTTGATTTACAGAAATAGGCCTGTCAGTTTTAGGTTTTTTTTTTAAAAATATTTTTATTTATTTCTAGGAGCTAGAGAGAGAGAGACAGCATGAGGAGGGGAGGGTCAGAGAGAGAGGAAGATACAGACTCTGAAATAGGCTCCAGGTTCCGAGCTGGCAGTCAGCACAGAGCACGACGCGGGGCTCGAACCCACGAACCGCGAGATCATGACCTAAGCGAAAGTCGGACGCTTAACTGACTAAGCCACTCAGGCGCCCCAACATAAGGGAGTTTTAAATGTACATCAAGTGTCATTTGATCTCCATCACAGTCCATTTGTACTTTTCAAATTCACAGTCACAGTCTCACAGTCTCATGAAAATCTTACCTAAAGACTAAATTGTAATGTTATCCTGTAATAACTTGTATATTAATCAAAAACAGAAAGGACATAGAACTGAATAATATATATAAATAAGCACATGCACATAAATACAAGAAGCATAGACAAAACATGTCAACCCAGTATAGTTTAGGTTTAGTTTAGGCTTCTGGAATTGGTCTTGGGGTGATTGTTGACCTCCATTTCTTACTTCTTCAAGGCCAATCCCCTATTTCCCAGTACTGGGGCAAGCTGGATGTTGGAATTAGTCTTTGCAGTTCCCCCCAGAAGTTTTGGTATTATTTCTGGATGATTATGTCCAGTGGTGAGGAATTCCAGGATCCTCTTTTTAGCTTTTCCTACATAATGGTCTTTACCCTATGTGTCAGATAAGTTTATTTTTAAAAATTGTCATTTGTAGAGAAAGCATCTGAATATCTTCTTTAAGTTTGTTTTTGGCATTTTGGTCTGTAAGCAATTAGATGGAAAGAGATACCACCCCAAAGAGTTAGGAACCAGAGCACTTGAGCCTGACCATCCATGATCCCTTTACACCTGGACAAAGCCATGGCCTACAAGGCCTCTCTCCCACGTGAATCAGCCAGGCAAGCCAGTACCCATTGTGCCAGGAGGGGTGTGATGATGGTCCACCAAGTACCGAGTAAAGAGGTGCAGGGGCCCTGAGCTCTGGTAGAGGAGACTCTGAGGCCAGGAGACAACCCACACCTGCTGTGTCCCCATCATTGCAGCACGTCCATGAGACTGCCTAAGATTATTTTAGAGACTGTGTAAGTGGGGGACCAATTAGGCTGAGACTAGTTAGCCACCACTAAAGATCTCTCGGCCAAGGCATTTTGATTCCTCTTTCATTCCCACTACTCTTGACAGTTCATGTGCCGACATTCTCTTTGGCAATTAAGTGCCACCTACTTGATTTCTGTGGACCCTGGGTCCACTCTGGCCCTCTGCCTGTTTCTGTACATAGAGCTTTATACAAAGTTAAATGTATTCATTGGTTCTTTGAAACCACAATGTCAGAGTTAAGTATAGCATGGGGACTGTTTGGCCTGCTTTGCCTAAAATCTGTATGGACCTTTAGAACAGGTCTGGTATAATAGGCTGCCTATCTGTTTCACTGCAAGAGACTAATTGGTTTCAGATTCGTTTGCCACCATTAAAGATCTCTGCAGGACAAAGCATTCTGATTCCTGTTTCATTCCTACTGCTCTTGACAGTTCATGTGCCCACTTTGTCTTTGGCAGTTAAGTGCTGCCTACTTGATTTCTGCTGCTCTGGGTCCTCAACATCACCACTGAAATCAGGGAGTTCACCTCAGTGATGATTTATCCCATATAGTCATACCTCACCTATAAAGAAGAATGACCACAGAGCCTTCAAGGATGGAGGTGCTTCCCTTATTTGTTTCTCAAAACATTTGTAGAAAGAGTGTTCTGTTCCCTCCAGATAGAATGGGAAAT